CCTTGGACGTACCTCCCGAATCAGGGCGAGCTTTCATACCTTCGACAACGTCTAACAATTCGTGATACCGTAGATAGGCGCGCATTTGAAACTTCCATACTGCAAAATCGTTGCCGTTAAACTTAGCTATCGCGAACTTATCCATTTTCGATGTGTCTGCTACTATTGGCCGCGAAACCGAACTTGAACACTGACCAACTACAAATCACAACTTCGAATAGGAACTAATCGCTGATATTCCACTAATTGCACTTTTTCAAAATACTAATTGCACAATACTCGATACGTAATCTGGGCCCATAACCTGTTAATTTATGTGCGTATTTAAAGTGCGAAAAATAAAAGGCCAACGATGTTAACACTAGCGAAGGTATTTATTAACTGACTTAGATATGTACAATATGAGAAAACTAACTTAGTAAAAAAGGTCCCGACATCTGGACGTCGATTTGCCGTGAAACGCCGACAAAGACAAAAGGGTCCAGACTTTCAACCACACAAGTGTCGCACCGGTACTGGGCCAGAGCGTATCTAATTCTGACATATTGCAACAGATCTTACCAAGGCCTTTGATTGTGTTTCCCATTCGATTCTGGTTCGTAAACTTTATTTCTATAATTTACATCCCGCTAGTTGTCGTTTATTGTCATCCTATCTCAGCAATAGAATCCAAAAAGTCACGGTTGATGGAACATCTTCTAATTATCTCCCTGTGGAATATGGCGTACCTCAGGGATCTATTTTAGGTCCTCTTTTATTCTTAGTCTACATCAACGACCTACCATCCAATATAGAAGACTCGAAAGTTATTCTATACGCTGATGACACCACCATACTCAACAGCAGTAGCAGTCTAAATGACTGCATTGATAAAAGTTTGGAAGCACAATCTAAGGCAAAACTATGGTTTGATACCAACAGTTTAGGCATGAATGTCGACAAATCGGTGTATATGTTCCTCAGTCTTAAAACCAGTGCAACATTAAATTTAGGTCAAGCCAATAATGCACTTTTTCTTGGCATTACCATCGACGACCAGCTTCTCTGGAATGCCCATGGAGATACATTAGCTAAGAAACTAAATAAGAACACATACCTTTTGAGACAACTAAGTAATAATGTATCACAGAAAACATTAATAGTTGCCTATTTTGCATTTTTTCACTCTTCAATTGAGTATGGTAACTTAGTTTGGGGACATTCTACTTGTCGACACAGGATATTTGGTCTTCAAAGGCGTGCTGTTCGGATTATAGCTGGACTTCAGTACCGTGATGATTGCAGATCTGCATTTGTTGAACTTAAAATTTTAACTGTGCCTTCAATTTTCATCCTACATTGTTTATTACATCTCAAAGACAATATTGGCAATTATTCTAAGTTCACTGACATTCATTTGTACAACACCCGAAACAAAGAAAATTTAGTTCCCAATTCAAATCGTTTGAAGAGGGTACAAACTGGCACAAGATACTTCGCTGTGAAATTTTTTAATGTGTTACCCGAAGAATTTCGTAGTAAGCCTATTAATATATTTAAAAAAAAACTCAAAACTTTTCTTATTATGAATTGTTTTTATAGTTTTGAGGATTATCTTCGGTGTAGAAATTTTGATAGTTTATTGATTTAATTTAATGTGTTTGACTTGTGTAAAACTGTATTTGTAGTTTTGAACACCAATAAAGTATTTGAATTTGAATTTGAATTTGAATTTGAATTCGAATTTGAATTTGAATTTGAAAATTTTCAGCACTTGATTTTTCAATTTTTTAATATTTCGTAATGTAATGTAATATTTATTAACGGATAATATATTAATATTAATAAAATTACTTTATTTTTCGATGTTTTAATTTTTCAACTTTTCGATTTTTTAAAATAGATGTTTCGACTTTCCTATTTTTAAATTTTTGGGATTAATAAATTTTCAATTTTTGGATTTCCTGAATAATCAATTTTTCTATTTTTAAAATTTTCGACTTTTAGATTTGTCAAGTTTTTGATTTTTCGACTTCTCGATTTCTCAGTTTTTCGATATTTCGGTTAGATTTTTCGTTTTTTAACTTTTTAAATTTTTCATTTTGCTATTTTTCTATTTTTTTCATGTTTCGATTTCACCTTTTTTTCAATTTTTCAATTTGCTGATATATCATTGACTGTTTTTTAAATTATTCGATTCTTCATCTTTCGGCTCTTACATTTTTGAATTTTTGTACTTTCGATTTTTAAAATTTTCAGTTTTTCGATTATTGGACTTGACGATTTTTCAATTTTTGCCACGTCTAAATTTTTTTTTGTTAGCTTTTGCAGTTCTTCAATTTTCGGATTTTTCATGTTTCTGATTTTTCAACTTTTTAAATTTTCGGTTTTTCGATTTTTCATTTTTCGATATTTGAGTTTTGAAAATCTTCAACATTTCGAATTTTAAATTTTTAGATATGTCGTTTTAATTTTTCAACTTTTCGATTTTTTCAATTTTAGATGTTTAGATCTTTCTATGTTTAAATTTTTGGCGTTCCTAAATTTTCAATTTTTAGATTTCCTGATTAACCAATTTTCCAAATTTTCGATTTTTTGCTTTCCCAATTTGTCCATTTTTTGACTTTTCGATTTCCGGAATTTTCATTTTTCGATTTTTAAGAATTTAGATGTCTCGATTTTTGTATTTTTAAATTTTTGGCGTTTCTAAATTTTCAATTTTTCGATTCCCTGATTTTCGACTTTTTTATTTTTCCCATTTCTCGTTTTTTCACTTCTCGATTTATCGATTTTTCAGTTTTTCAATTTTCGATTTTCCAGGTTTTTGGTTTTTCAATTTTCTAATTTCTCGACTTGAGTTTTCGATTTTTCAGCTTTGGAATTTTTCAGTATTTCGATTCTTTTACTTTTATGAACTTTGGTTTTTAAAAATTTTCGTTTTTTTGAATATTCGATTTGACGATTTTTCAATTTTTGGCATTTCTAAATTTTCGATTTCTCTATTTTTCAGTTTTTGCAATTCTTGAAGTTTTCAAGTTTCCGATTTTTCAATTTTTTCAATTTTCGGTTTTTCGATTGATTTTTATTTTCTCAATTTTCCAATTTCCCTATTTTTCGAATTTCGAAATGTTCATTTTTCGATATTTCAGTTTTGAAAATTTTCAGCACTTGATTTTTCAATTTTTTGATATTTCGTAATGTAATGTAATATTTATTAACGGTTAATATATTAATATTAATAAAAGTACTTTATTTTTCGCTGTTTTATTTTTTCAACTTTTCGATTTTTTAAAATAGATGTTTCGTTTTTCCTATTTTAAAATTTTTGGGATTCATAAATATTCAATTTTTGGATTTCCTGAATAATCGATTTTTCTATTTTTAAAATTTTCGAGTTTAGATTTGTCAAGTTTTTGATTTTTCGACTTCTCGATTTCTCAGTTTTTCAATTTTTCGTTTTTCAACTTTTTAAATTTTTAATTTTGCTAATTTTCAATTTTTCCATTTTTTCATGTTTCGATTTCAACTTTTTTTTCGATTTTTCAATTTGCTATTTCATAGTCTGTTTTTTAAATAATTCGATTTCTTCATTTTTCGACTCTTACATTTTTCAATTTTTGAACTTTCGATTTTTAAAATTATAGGTTTTTCTATTTCTCTTTTTTTTTAGTTTTTGCATTCTTCAAATTTCGGATTTTTCGGTTTTTCGATTTTCCAATTACTCCATTTTCGACTTTTCGGTCCCCGGAATTTTCATTTTTCGATATTTGAGTTTTGAAAATCTTCAACATTTCGACTTTTAAATTTTTTGATATTTCGTTTTAATTCTTCAACTTTTCGATTTTTTCAATTTTAGATGTTTAGATCTATGTTTAAATTTTTGGCATTTCTAAATTTTCAATTTTTAGATTTCCTGATTAACCGATTTTCCAAATTTTCGATTTTTTATTTCACAATTTGTCCATTTTTTGACTTTTCGATTTCCGGAATTTTCATTTTTCGATTTTTAAGAATTTAGATGTCTCGATTGTTGTATTTTTAAATTTTTGACATTTCTAAATTTTCAATTTTTCGATTCCCCTGATTAATCGATTTTTCAAATTTCAGACTTTATTTTTTCCATTTCTCGATTTATCGATTTTTCAGTTTTTCAATTTTTCAGTTTTGGAATTTTTCAGTATTTCGATTCTTCAACTTTTATGAACGTTGGTTTATTAAAATTTTCGGTTTTTCGAATATTCGACTTGACGATTTTTCAATTTTTGGCATTTCTAAATTTTCGATTTCTCCATTTTTCAGTTTTTGCAATTCTTGAAGTTTTCGAGTTTCCGATTTTTCAATTTTTTCTATTTTCGGTTTTTCGATTGATTTTTATTTTATCAATTTTTTATTTTAAGAATACAGATGTCTCGATTTTTGTATTTTTAAATTTTTGGCGTTTCTAAATTTTCAATTTTTCGATTGCCTGATTAATCGATTTTTCAAATTTCCGACATTTTTAAGTTTTTCAATTTTTTTATTTTTCAATTTTTTAATTTCTCGACTTGACTTTTCGATTTTTCAGTATTTCGATTCTTCAACTTTTATGAACTTTGGTTTTTTAAAATTTTCGGTTTTTTCGAATATTCGACTTGACGATTTTTCAATTCTTCGAATTTTCAATTTTTGGCATTTCTAAATTTTCGATTTCTCTATTTTTCAGTTTTTGCAATTCTTGAAGTTTTCAAGTTTCCGATTTTTCAATTTTGATTTTTATTTTCTCAATTTTTCCATTTCCCGGTTTTTCAAGTTTTTGAATTTTCAATTTTTTAAATTTTCGTTTTATCATTACAAGAACTTTGGACATATCATTAATTAGTTTTTAAATCTGAAATTTCCCGCATTTTATCTTTTTATTTTTTGTAAACTTTAAAAACTGACAACCAAAACCACGCCCTCTTTGACAAAAAGACGAACTATTACTCCTCACTGTGCCGCCTCCTGCAAACCCTGATACCAACTAGGGACAATAAAATTCCACAAACAATTTTTCATTTATTTATACAACGTACCAATATTAAAATATAAACACACTTGAGAATTAAAATTTATTCAACCTGAAACCGAAAGAAGTCGACTTCTATATCCACAGACTTTTTCTTATGAAATTTGTAAGTTGAAGGTAAGTCGTAACGCAGTTCTGCCAACACCTCTCCTTTGGCCCCTAAAGATTCGGCAACCCTTAAAACATGCGACCTACACAGACAATTTAATCCACTTTGACACCACCTCCTCACCTTGTTGATGTTTTATGCAACGAATAAACAACGTCCTGTGATAAATCTAAACCAACTTGTAAAAATTTCATGTCGATCCCTACGTTATGTTTAGTCCCAAAGGGCGGATTCATGATAACCGTATCAAACATTTTAGAAAACCTGCACAGATTGATTGATTAATAAATTCATAATGTGTCGTTATCGTACGGTATTTTTTCTACTTTGCGCCCTTTTCAACGAAACAGTGACATTTCGAAATCTGGGGAATTTCGCGACAGTTGGCAACCCAATTCGAAACGTCAAATTTAAAAAAACCCACACAAAGTAGAAAAAATCACCAAAACCACCCACCGTTTCGGCACTACGTTAACATCACACTGCACCCCATCAACGTTCCCAACCTCCTGCTCCTCCACATTTTCGCGAAAAGTCTCCAGTGCATCTGCGTCGATCTCGAACCCCGTGACAAGCCCGGCGCCCAGAACCGCCGCTCCAATGGACAGGGCCCCACAGCCGCACCCCAAATCCGCCACCATCCTGCCCCCGATGTCCCCATACTGCGACTACAAAACCCTTATTTTAGCCCCAAACAGCGCACCTCTCACCTGAATGGTGTACAGCACGTGTGACCCCAAATGCGCCGGGGTCACGTACTGTTCCAACAAAACTTTAGGTTTTTCGAACGACGAAATGCACTGAAGCCGCTCTTCCAGGTGTCTCAGTTTCAAGCACGGAAACATTATTTGTCGAAACGCGGCAGCACCGGAAGGATAAAATTCCCGAAGGAGGAGTCTTGAGAGATGAAGTATCCGGTGGATTGGGCATTGGCGGTCTGCAAGGCGGCGCGTTGGAGCGAGCTCATCGAATACCCATCCGATTGCTGCACGGGGGCGGAGCCCAACACTGGCAACGACGACGAATTCAAAGTGGAAGCCACCCCTTGTTTCAACAACAGTTGTTTTTTGAGTTGGAGATCCTCGAGTATTTTCCTGTTGGCGAGTTCTAGTCGCTCGATTAGTGATTTAGTGACTTTAGTAACCCGAAACTTACCTCTCTGGGCGTTGGGTTGTGGAAAAGCCATGAAATTTGTTATTTATGCGACATAAGTGAGGTTAAAGTGAAACGCTGTCACTCGCCATGACCACCAATACACACATTCAAAGTCACTAAAATCAACCAATCACGGCCGCGCTATTCTAGTGATTGTTCGTTTGTGTAGTGGCAACGGCGCTCACTTCACCCTATTGACACCGAATTTTTTCAACTTACAAAATTGCGATGATTTCGAGTTTTTCTCTATTATGAAACCGTCAGCGCAGTTAAGTAAAGGGAATTCGTCGAATACAAAAAGCAAGAAGGGTTCGAAGGAGCGCGAAAAAAGGAAGTCCCAAGGGGGCACCGCTGAAGTCAACAATCACAGCACGAGCGAAAAAGGGTCCCCGGCGAAGGTACAGTGAATAAAGTGACCACTTTAAACTGACTCGGGTTTGTAGGAGACCAGTACGAGGTTGTACGCTGGAATCGACGCAAACTCGCTTGTCAATTATGTCGAACAAAGCGGCATTGAGCAGTTGTCGGAGGACATAACCAACACTTTGACTGAAGATATTAATTATAGGTTACGATATATTATAAATGTAAGTGGGTTTAGTAGTTGGGCACGAGTGAGTGTGTTTTTTTTAAGGATTCGTTAGTGAAGGCGAGACTGTCGGGCCGAAATGCCATCAGTGCAAGCGACATCGAGCACACTTTCGAGAACTTGAGGATAGAGAAGGTGTATGGGGCCCCGGCACACCCGAACTGGGTACAGTTCGGCGATCAAGGCCTACACTGTCTCGAGGTAAGCACTCCACGGTTTTTTAATTTTGAGGTTAGGTAGAAAATTTTGAGTCGTGACGTCACGTCGTCGCAGTGCACCACAAACCCCAATCTATTTTTCTATTAATTTGGTCTGCAAGCGTGGTATACCAATTCTAGAACAAAACTAACAACACTAGCAGTGATTACAATAAAAAAAAACACAAATTGGATCAGAAAAGCGTCAGTTTCCACCGGGACGGAGTTTTTCTTGGATAATTTCCCCGTGTAGGAGTAGATTTTTTTCTTTATTGTGAGTTGGCGCTTCCATAGCTTTAGCAGCCCGCCTGAAATTATGTGTGTATTATTATATATGTATATATCTCAATTTTTCGAATTTTTAAATTTTAGATTTTTCACTTTTTTCTTGTTTCGATTTCAATTTTGAATTTTCCCATTTTTCGATTTTTAGCCACTTCCATTTCTCAATTTTTCGTTGTTTCGATTTCGCGATTTCTCAGTTTTTCGATAATTCAACTTTTCGATTTCTCAGTTTTTCGATAATAATCTTTTGGATTTTTCGATTTTCCAATTTTTCAACGTTTCAGTTTTGGGATTATGTATTTAAATTTTTCGATTTTTCAATTTTTGGAATTTTCGGCTTGCTGTTTTTTTTTTATTTTATACTTCTTCTTTTCAACATTTTGCGATTTTATAAATCTTACATTTTTCGAGTTTTCGATTTATTGATGTTTTGATGGCTAGATTTTTAAATTTTCAATTTTTCCAGTTTTTAAATTTTAGGTTTTTCACTTTTTTGTTGTTTCGATTTCTCAATCTTTTCGATTTTTCAATTTTTCGGAATTACTTTTTCAGGTTTTCGATTTAACGGTTTTCTTTCGATTTTTCGCTTTCTCGTTTTTAGATTTTCCGATTTTTGAGTTTTGCGGAATTAATTTTTCAGTTTTAAATGTTTCGCTTTTTCACTTTTTGGTTTATCTTTTTTTTTAAGTTAAATTTTTTCAATTTTGGATTATCTCATTTTTCGATTTTTAGCCACTTCCATGTCTCGATTTTTCGTTGTTTCAACTTCGCGATTTTTCAATTTTTCGATTTTTCTGTTATTCATCTTTTCGATTTTCCAATTTTTCAACGTTTCAGTTTTTTTATGTATTTAAATTTTTCGATTTTCAAATTTTCAATCTTCAAGTTTTGGGATTTTTCAATATGTACTTCGATTTTTAAATTTTTCGACTTTCCGTTTTGTTGATTTTTTACTTATTTGATTTTTCAAAATTTTGCGATTTTTTAAATTCCTGATTTTTTCAATTTTCGATTTTAAAATTTTTCCATTTTTCGGTTTTTAGACTTTTCAATTTTTTACTCTTCGATTTTGGGAATTCTCGAATTTTCGATTTTTGAATTTTGATTTTCCAATTTTTCAGTTTTTCGCTTTTTCAATCTTTGTAATTTTTCTTTTTTCTTTTTGATTTATCGAGTTTTCGATTTCTAGATATTCAAATTTTCGATTTTCAAATTTTCAAAGCTTAAGTTTTTGGATTTGTAAATTTTTAGATATTTCCACTTTCCGTTTTTTTGATTTTTTAATTATTCGATTTTTCAAAATTTTGAGATTTTTTTTTAAATCTTACATTTTTCGATTTTTCTAGTTTTTGATTTTTCGTTTCGTTAATGTAAATTAATTCCTCGACTTTGTAAATTTTCAATTTTTCGAATTTTTAAATTTTAGATTTTTTTTTTGCTGTTTCGATTTGTGACTTTCTAATTTTTTGATTTTTCAATTTTTCGATTTATCGGGTTTTTTAAGTAAAAAAATTTTCAATTTTGAATTTTCCCATTATTCGATCTTTGGCTATTTCGATATCTCAATTTTTCGATTTTTCGAGTTCTCGATCTTTTGATGTTTCGATTTCGCGTTTTCTCAATTTTTCGATTTGATTTCTCAGATTTTTGATTATTCGTGTTTTCGATTTTTCAGCTTTTCAATTTTTGGCGTTTTAAAATTTTTGGACTTTTCGATTTCTCAATTTCACGATTAATCGATTTTTAATTTTCAGATTTTTCTGTTTTCAGTTTTAGCATTTTTCAATTTTGGCATTTTTCAAGATTTCGCTTTTGAAATTTTTAGAGTTTTCCACTTTGTGTTTTTTTGACTTTTTACTTATTCGATATTTCAAAATTTTGCAATTTTTTAAATCTTACATTTTTCGATTTTTCAATATTTTTATTTGTTGATGTTTTGATTTCTCCATTTTGTAAATTTTCAATTTTCCGAATTTTTAAATTTTTGATTTTTCACTTTCGCAAATCTCGCTTAATAATCGATCTTTTAATTTTCCGATTTTTCGATTTCTTTGTTTTAATAAGTTTTAGGATTTTTCAATTTTGGCATTTTACAAGATTCCGATTTTCCGACTTTTTGTTTTTTTGATTTTTTTACTTACTCGATTTTTCAAAATTTTGATTTTTCGACTTAGTGATGTTTTGATTGCTGGATTTTTTAAATTTTCAATTTTTCGAATTTTTAAATTTTACATTTTTCAATTTTTTGGTGTTTCGATTTTTCAATTTTTGGATTTCTCGATTTCGCGACTAATGGAGTTTTTAATTTTTAGATTTTCAAATTTTCAATGTCTAAGTTTTGGGATTTTTTAATATGTATTTCGATTTTTAAATTTTTAGATTTTCGACTTCCTATTTTTTTGATTTTTTAATTTTTACTTATTTGATTTTTCAAAATTTTTTGATTTTTCGATTTGGTTGATGTTTTGATTTGTGGATTTTTAAAATTTTCAATTTTTTGACTTTTTAAATTTTTGTTTCGATTTCTCAATCTTTCGATTTTTTACCTTCTCGTTTTTAGATTTTCCGGTTTTTAAACACTTTCATTTCTCAGTTTTTCGATAATTCATCTTTTCGATTTTACATTATTCAATTTTTGGCGTTTTTAAATTTTTGGATTTTTCGAATTCTCAATTTCTCGATTAATCGAATTTTTACGGGGTAAGCACTCCACGGTTTTTATTTTGAGATTAGGTAGAAAATTTTGAGTCGTGACGTCACGTCGTCGCAGTGCACCACAAACCCCAATCTATTTTTCTATTAATTTGGTCTGCAAGCGTGGTATACCAATTCTAGAACAAAACTAACAACACTAGCGGTGATTACAATCAAAAAAACCACAAATTGGATCAGAAAAGCGTCAGCTTCCACCGGGACGGAGTTTTTCTTTGATAATTTCCCCTTGTAGGAGTAGATTTTTTTCTTTATTGTGAGTTGGCGCTTCCATAGCTTTAGCAGCCCGTCTGAATTTGTGTATTATTAGTATTATTATATATATAAAAAAACAAAAAATGTGACGTACCACCCATGATTTCCTGTATGTTTTGGTTGAACACGTCCACGAATGGTACTCCCGTCGTGAATGGGACGGCGTGCGGGGTCACTTTAAAAAATCTGGTCGTTATATCCCCCGCTTCGATTGTTTCGTAGTTGTGGCAAAACATCTTCGTGTGGTACAAACTTTTGGCGATTTCGCCCACGATTATCGCCCTGTGGTTTTCAATGTAGATGCGCAGGTCGCAAAAGTGGTTTTTTCGGACAGTCGTGGACTTGTTCAAGAGGATTTTTTCTTCGTTGTTGAGCATTTTCACGTAGTTTTGCATCTGGTTTTTGTCGATGACGATGTTGTAGCCTTCGTTTATTAATTCCTCGAGGGTGGCTGGTGGTGCGCTTTTGTCCACCATGAACGAGGTCAGTCTAGATTTGTAGATGATGTTGAGCAACATTATGGAAATCCACCAGCTGGAAAGGAGTATGCAAATGAAGGATTTAGCTCGTCCCGGGAAAAAGTTTTTTAGTTTGATGGATTGCTCGAAACTGGCGTGGGAAATGACCTGAAAATTACATATAGTGGAATAGGAGACCCACTATATAATTGTGTTAATACTTGTGTTATTCGATCATACGTCAGGTGAACTTTATCGTTGAAATATTTCGCCACAAAGTACACTATAGTTGCTAGAGAAAACACACCCACGGCTTTGGATGCCCAAAATTTGAGGTTAAAAACTCCACTGAAATAAAAAATTTTCAAACGAAAGGGTCGCTTGTAGACGAACATGAAAGCCAGATCTTCGAATCTTAGCACAATACTGAACTGCAAAATCTCTCGTCTGGAATTAGTGATCGAAATTCCACCAATCGCCATGTCGTACTGTCCAGAAACCAACCCATTGATAAGCGCGTCGTACGACCGATTCGGCGCCTCTATCAACTCGTACGTAAAGTTCATTTTCCCGCTCACAGTCTTCAGCAACTCGTACTCCGACCCTATCGCCTCCTCACAAACCCCGTTGCTCTTCACCACGCACCAAACATAAGGAAAGTAGTCGATATAAACCACCCTAATCACGTGCTCGTTCAAATTGTCGAACTTTTTCGGCGCCAGTCGCACCGGGTTTTCCCTAAGTTGTGAAAACTCCAACCGCTGTCTCAATAAAAGTCTTCCAGTGCTTCCCCCGCAGTAAAAACACATACTATACACCGAAATCCCCCCCGAATCAAACCTCACCACCGCCACCAACCCGCTTCTGCTCAAATGCGGTATCCTGAAATAGTTTTCCTGAAAACTGAGAAACGAATTTTCTTTGCAAAGGAACATGATCACGTCTTTGGAGTATATGTTGTTGTGATTGGACGAAAATCGCGAAAAAGTCAAGGGGTCGGTGAAGAGGATCAAGTGGAGACATTGTAGGCTTCCAGGCCGGGTCACTGGTATGTCGAAATCGTGGTTAAAAATCGTCGTTAGGACGTGGTACTCGGCGAGGAAGTCGTTCACGATGGTTTCGGTGGTGTTTTCGACGTGGATGATTAAGTCGAAGTCGTCGTAGTTGCGGAGGATTGCGCGAAATAAGGGGGAGGTGGAGCGGGAGTTGATTTGAAAAAGGGGATTTTGGGCTGCGATTAGTGGGAGGAGGGTGACTAGGGTGGAGAGCATGTTTGTAGTGTGTGGTGTTTGTG